TCCTTTGAATATTATCTAACTTATTAAAAGGAATCCATTCTATTACATCTTCGTATTTTTCAGTTTTAAGTTGAAATTCTTTAATGCAATCATCGATATCCTTATTTCTACTTGTCCATCCTTGTGTTGTTTTCTGTGGGTCGTATGTTTGACACCAAACGAAAAATGTGTTATATCGGTTGCAATTTGCACATTTTCCATATTGTTTATTTCTTTTGTGACCAAGCTCATCAGCCATAATAAGATGCTGAAAGATTAACACTTTAACGTATTTACAATTATATAACATTGTATGTAACGCAAATGCCATTTATAATGCTTTCAGTTGCACAATAAATTTACTCGCTCGTTATGCCGGGTGTTTGAAAAGTCCCTTGACATACTTTTTGTTGATTATCACTTTTGATGGGATAAAAGTCCTTTTATTAATAAAAAACATAAAATCAAAGCAATTAACAAAGAGGCCCTATTTAGGGACTTTCAAACACTTTGTAGAAATAATACTCTTAAGTATTTATGCTAAATTTAATGTAATGAAATCATATTGTTAACACAACAACTTAGGAATTGGTTTAATGCCCTCCTAGCATTGGGTTTCAAAATTAACAAAATAAGTGGTGCATTTCGAAAATATATAGGATTTTTCTATAGCATTTTTACTATGTTTAATTATAAATAGGAAGAAGAATTTAATCGTAAATATTTATATTTAACTGAACAAAGGTCTTTTATATTGGTTTTCAGTTTAAAAATTATAAAATATTGCTTGTTTCTTCAGACAAATTCAAAATTAGAATATAAGTTTATACAATGATATCTACTCAACACATCGCTTGTAAATTACTTTTCAAAAAAATTATTAGCGGGTTTCAGAGATAACTTATTTTGAAAATAAGTGGGAGTTTGAAAAGTTCTGTTTTGTTGTGAAATTTAGAAATCGTAAAATGAAATAGGAGTTATCCGGAGATAAAATAAGCAAACGTTTTTTTTTTAAAAAGAAAATTTACGATCGTAAAAGTATTTAAGATTTATAGATCACTGATTTCGAAATAAATACGTCGCTAATTTAATTCGAAATTAGAAACCTGAACCTTAGCTCTGAAACCCCCTATTACAAAAATTATATTGGTGTTGCCAGGGAAAACCTGTCTGTCACAGGTGCCTCAAATTAATTGTTTACCGAATTCACTCTTCTGATGTTTTAAAAAATTGTGTCCAGCAAATTATAACTTCAAAATCCCGATGACAGGCCTTTCTTGGCTGGCACCCATTAATTAACAATTCTAACAGTAAACCCCTTAGTTCGAGAAGATTAAAACTGGACAGTAGCAAACTAAGGGCTGAGTGACTTTAATCTTCGGTCTAGAACATTCTGGTCCGATTGTATAATAATATATATTATTTTTAAATTTACGAGTCAATTTCTAATCAACATAAATCGTAAACCGGCGCGGAACATATACACCAGAACCAGTGGTCGTTAAAAGCAAAACTACTAGCAAAATTAGCTAGTAAATTTGCAAAATTATCAAAATAGCTTATTACAAAATTTATTTTTGTCAAATATAAATTTTAATGTAGTCATTTATTCTTTGGTGAGTTTTTAATCTATCATTTTAGTAAGTTCTCTAGTCATCATTTAAAACTTGCACATAATTACTCGTTTATATAAATCAGTTTAAGAATAAAGTAATAGTCGCATGCTTAGTACCAAATTTCGCATCTTAGCACAAACAATGTTCCTAGTAATTTTGCTAAAAAATAGCGTTATTTTAGATGCTACTAAATCCACTGGCTCTGATATACACCAATTTCAATATAAATAAATGTTCTATACACTTGGAAGAATTTATCCAGAAATTTCTTTAAAACATTCATTTTGTGTTGAATTATAATTCGTATTATGCGTAATGAAGTTAGCCATCTCAGCATTATCGTAAATAGCACTTCGAAAATTGTTATAAATTGACATTCAACACCTACTTCGCTTGTCAATTGTTCCCAAGCAATAAATCCTTCAACCAAAAATTACAGGATATCCTTCTTAAATTTTTTTTCAAGATCGCTTGAATTAAATTAGCGGCAGAGAATCGTAACCATGACATACAATTAGATCGTTCATTAATAAGTTTTTGTTCAAGTTCAGGGCAAGTTTTTAAGTTTGATTATTCAAAGATTACTGAAGATTCTTAAAAAAAAAAAGGGTTGACTTATCAAAAGAAAAGATTAAGTAAAAATTTTTAACTTATCCATCCTCTAAAAGGAATGGTTTTAAACATGCCTCTTTTATTAATCTGATACAGCGTCTAACACCAATATATTAGGAGAATCTTTGGTCTCATTTAACAAATCGCACAATAGACGAATTCTTTTGTGCTGAAGCAATGTTAGATATTGACAATGTCAACACTTTTAAATTCTGTGTGTAGATGCTTGTGTAGATGCTTGTGAAGAAGTAAATGGTCTGGAACATCAACGTTGATCTTGGGATTTCACAAAATTACATTGTTTATCCTAAGTCTGTTATATTGCAGAATTTTTATTTTTTTAGCAGATGAAGTATTATAACAACTATAGACTATTTGTTTATGAAAAGCAGTTAAAAAAACGATTTTAAGTATTGATATGCATCATATTTCTACAAAATACCAATACTCTGTTCGTTTCATGAACTTTCAATATTAATCATATTACAGTAAACTATTCCACCTCATGTATAAGATAATACTTTATACTGTAGTTACTAAATCCTATACATGGGTGCCTAAATTTCCCATCTTAATAAAAAAGTAATTACGGCATTTAGGCAGCCGAAATTATTCTTATATAATGCCGAAATTAATTTTCATATTTGCCGAAATTATTGCCGAAATTTTTTGAACTCTTTTCATCAAAATACATCATATAATATAGTTATTTCGAAGGGTTTCATATAAAAAATTTAGCAATGCCGAAATGTTTGCCGAAAATACGATTTTTCAAAAATAATTTAGGCACCCATGTATACTAAATCCAAAGTGGAACTGTATCCAAACTATTTTTTAAAAAAAGTAAATTCGTCAAACATTTCGCCATTGTTAGTTTTTATTAGGGCTCAGCAAAGTTCCCTATTAAACATAGCGCATGGGCACAATGTTTAATAGTACGTGTGCCAGCACTTGCAAAGCCCTAGTTTTTATACATCAATTCCACAAAAAACTATACTACCTATTGTATTGTTGATATAAGGAATTTTAAATAATTTTGACTGATTATTTGCCAAAATAATTATTCGTTATGATGCGTAATTTAGACATCAATGTAAGTTGATAGCCCATCTAGTATTGTCATCAAAATAAGATACATTATATTCGCTATTTAACTAGTATTGTTTTTATTATAAATCACAATTTTTCAAAAAAGAATAATCCAAGATATTATTTTTCATTCAAATATTCCGAGTTTAATTACGGTAGTTATTGTAAATATTGCGCCTAAATTTGAAGGTCTTAGAATTTGAATTATATTCAGTTCAAAATCATCACGTTTATTATTTTGCATGTCTAATGGAAAGGATGGTCCGATGACCTAAGCCACATCATTGTTTTTATATGCAGTCATATAATCATATGACTTTTTGGTCATAGGTCATATCAAACATTAATAAACTTTTTTTGTACTAATTCATACTAATATTATTATGATAAAGATCATAAACCTTCGCTATGACCAAATGACCTATGACAGGTCATATAGGTCATTTAAGGCCATCGGCCAACACTGTACTAGAGTGGTAAATCAACCAAGTAATCAAAACCATATTAGCAATACAGAATTAGTAATCTAAAGAAATGCACAAAATTTTAAGATTCAAAGAAGTTAAGCTCGATTTTTGGAAAAGTTCTCATTTTTTTTTATTGAAAATTTATATATTCTACAGTATTAGTCGAACGCAAACTATATTAATAAAGAAATTCTCATACTTTCATTCTCTAGCACGAGTTATAAAAATATCTAGACAATATCTTATTGTATTAATGAGTTGAGTCATTTGAAATATACTGATTTAAAGATGTAGTGATCTCTAATCCACAGCTTTAGTACCATAAAAATCTACGATATGTCAAATTCTATGGTTTACTGCGGCTATAATTTGCTGCGGTGTTATTATTAGCCGATGTTTTAATTAGCCTCAAGCCCAATTAGTCTTAGCCTTCATGAGATATCCAATTAGCCATGTCCAATTAAACATGTCCAATAACAACGTTTGCTTTTTTACTCAATACCGTGTAACAATAAATTCTCTTATATTAATCACTACAGCACTAACATGGACATTACGTAACGGTGATTACAGAATTATATAAATATGGTGATATAATGATCATCTACTCACGTGTTCATCAACGAAGCGTTCTATTATTCCATTAACATTATTAATATAGAAAGCCCCTTACTCTTATATTTCTTGTGTTGATCATTATAGCACAAGGGGGTTAAGGGTGACTAAAAATACACGGCGTGCAGCATAACACATACTACAGTGTCCAAACTCTATATATACATGACATGATGTATATGGCCTGTGACATTGAGTTTCTTTGTTTATCGTTATTTTTAGTCCGCTCTTCGTAGAATTATCGGACCGTTTAATTATAATTATCACATCAATGATATAATAAATTTTCTTTTTTATGTATAAAATCTATTTTTATTGATTATTTGTTGCCATATCGAAACGGAAAAGTCTTTCTTTTTTTTTCTGCGAGCATGCAATTTTTTCTTTTTTAATGTAATCCATTTTTTTTTCGTTTATGACCTGATTTACATATTTGAGTTTCTTTTATAGTTTAAAAACTCCGTTGACATATTCATGATCAGTACAGTACAATAATTACAACTACGATAAATTTCCATCATTTGGATCCATTTAATCTTTAGTTTGCAAAGTTTCTAAAAAAAACATTTACGGCTCAAAAACATAATTTGTAACATAAGTTATATATTTTATCAAATCAACGATGTCTGTAATAAGTGGTAGCCCATCTTCAGTTATATCTCTTCCAATACAAAATGATTATACTTCATCTATTATAAATGGCAACCAATCTGCGATGACTGCCGCGACGGCAAATACAATACTTCCTCCGGATCAAGCAAATATTAATTTCAAACCGGCAACTACAGCAATCGCAAAAGTTAATAAATTAAAATTACAAGTTTCATTGGATTCTACAATTTACACTGCTGGTGGTATTTTAACTGGTAGACTTGTTTTGGCAAGCACTACTTCACGTTCATTAAAACTTGGTGAAATATCCTGCGAATTAACAGCTTACGAAGGTAATTATAAAAAATATCTACCCGTTATATATTGTGATAGCTGAATTGGCTAAGCTGTAATTTGGAAATTTCTATTTGAATGCATAAAGCCTATTTTAAAAAAAAACTCGGATCTTAAAAATGTACTTCAAAAGATTTTAGAATTTTATAAATTTCAACTCAGTCAACATCATCTTAGTAAATTGTAATAGCATTAACACTCGTAAAAATGTAATTTTATGCAGAATTAACGACAAGGGATTATACTGCATCTCAATCTTTTCTATCTTCAAGATTGGTTTTTCAAAGTACAAATTTACCTCCATCTAATGCTGTTTATGGTCCTAAAGATAATGGCTTTTGGACGGCAAAGAAAGGGAAAACAACCTTCCCATTTGCTTTCAAGATTCCAATTGATGCTCCAAGTTCTATAAAATATGGAAATAATGCTAGTTTAAAATACGTTGTGACTGGGTAACATATCTTTCCATAATCCTCTTGATAATTTTTTTAATACTAAATATTGTATAATTTGATTTGTAGAGTTATTCAGTTTATAAACGTTGCCAAAGATAATAAGGAGGACACATTATATAAATCCAAAGAAGCATTTATTGTCGAAGCGTGGGATAGTTACAATCCTATTTACAAAACACCTGTGGATGCCGTTAATATGAAACAATTATGGATGGGAGGCCCTGGTGCAGTAATGATCGAAAGCTCTTTAGTTGAAACGTTATTTCAAAGTGGTGGAAATGTTAGTGTTAAAGTTAGAGTGAAAAACGATACGAAAAGACGAGTAAGTTTATTTTTTTTTAATATATATTTATTTATTTATTTATCTAGCGATATTGATTACCTAACCAACTACTGTATATTTTATATAGGTTCAAGGACTTAAAATAGCAATTTTACAGCGACTTCTTATCCTTGCAAATAAAGCTAAGAAAGAGATTGATGAAGTTAAAATTGTTGGTGAAACTGTAGCGGAGGAATGGTTCAAAGACAAAGATTTCTGCTTTGATTGTGGAGAAGATCGAACTACAACTGTTCATATTCATGTTCCGGTTTGCTATCGACCTTTATTACGTTTAATGATATTCTATTTATTTTATTTAATTTGTAATTGATACATATTTAATTTATTAATTTTATAGAAAGATGTAAGATCGATAAGAAATACGGCACTTTTCGAAGTCGTATGCTATGTGGTTGTATCATTGTATTTAGGACCTTTTACGTATGTATCATTTATCATATTATTATTTTTATAATATTTATTAAATTAAAAATCTTATATATAATTGATTGCATTTGATCAGGAAAGATCTGACAGTTCATCTACCCGTCAATATTGCACATTCTGCATCATTACAACCTGTACCTATAGCTGACACAGATCTTAATGTTTTTCCAAATCACTATAATATGATGGATGAGAACACTGACTTTTTTGTTGAGGATATTAGAAAAGATGATTCAGAAGTTCTTGGAAAAGTTTCATCACCAATGAACATTCCTTCGAATAAAGGTAGAGTTCTTCCTTGGTCTGATGATGAAGATGAGAAAAATAATAATTCACCATCAAAAGGTTCGGTTATATCATATATACTTGGATCTGCTAGTCCTAAAGGACTTGGGTCACTGGCTCAATCACTTCTTGGAAAACAAAAGCAAATGTCACCGTCTTCTCCTTCCAAATTGATCGCTAAATCCGAACCACTAGCTCCAGCATCTCCTTATGTCTACATTCCTGCAATTGAGCGTGTAAGATATCTTTCATTTACTACTCAAGAACAAGGTGCCATACAAAAAAAACCTTTCGATGAATCTAAGTCACACATAAATGGATTTGGGTATTATGATGGATCATCAGAAAAAAATTCTCCACCAGAAAATGAATCACCACCATCAAAAACTGTTCAAAAATGTCAAACATGGTTAGAGAATCAACAAAGTGATAGCTCACCTGATTCAACAAGTATTGTTTCAACTGAAGGTGAAAAAATAACTGCACAAGGCAGTCCTTCTCCATGGTCTCATATAAACAGAGCACAAGAAATCGCTAGTTCTTCATCGCCAATTACTATTCCTTTTGATCAACAAGGAATGTCACCAATTACGATTCCTAAAAAAGATAATATCCTGCCAGAAGATGCATTTCAGAGAAATAACAGCACAGTATCGTCACCAAATGGTCCTTCTGGTCTTACTTTGTTAATGAGATCACGGCCTTCACCATACGTGCAAGATGATTCATCATCTATAAGTCATCAAAGTCCTAAAATACATCCTTTACTAGTACCAACGTCAGTAGATAATATTGAGGATGATTATGTTGATGTTCAATATGAAGAACCAACGTTAAAATCAGATTTTCTCCAAGTTCCTGGGCGTGAGCAAAATGGACTAAGGACACCACCTCCCGTAGCTATGGGAGCTAACGCAGGTTCTAATTTGTCTTCAATATTTAAATGGGGCACTTCGTTTATGGGTTACAAAAATAATGAACCTTCCAATCAAGATGGTCATATTTCTAGTGAAAACGATTCAGTAGAGCAAACAATCAACTTTTCAAATACAGAGACCTCTATAGAGGATGCGGCAATTAAGGCAAGGCCTCGCCGGCCTCTTCCTGCCATTCCTAACAGTGCTGTAAAAACCAATGAGATTTCCGATATGCAAAATGACAAGAATTCTTACGATACACAGATTCAAAATAATTCACAAATTGTATCAACAGAGGCTGAAGTTGTTCCAGTAACTAGGCCACGCCGTAACCTTCCTCCTATACCTCCTAAGCCTGATATTTCTTCGCAGACAAAGGAAACAAAGGATCTTGATTCAACTTCTAACATGTCTACTGATGGAGATATTCCATTAAATCAAACTACGAGCGTTTTTACAACTATTGAACATGAGGTTGTCATACCCCAGGCAAAAGTTGAATCTAGTGATGTAACTTCTAAGCCCGAAAGTCCTCCCAAACCCACTAAACAAATTACGAAAGCAACAGTTGATGTAACTTCTAAGCCTGAAAGTCCCCCAAAACCTACTAAACAAATTACGAAAGTAACTTCTAAACCCGAAAGTCCCCCAAAACCTACTAAACAAATTACGAAAGCATCAATATTTGCAGCACTTGGGCAAAAACCATTAGGAGTATCAACTTCTTCCGCTCAAATAACACCTCCAAAGAATGTACCTATTATTCCTGAAAAGAAACCAGTTAATATGAGTCCACCAAAGCAAAATGGATTTAATGTACCACGTAAACCGGTTAATCGAAACAATCCCTTAGCGGTAGAACAAAACATAAAATCAGAAAATGCTATAAAAGGAGATGTTAATTTGGAATCTCGGAATATTTCAGAAAATGCTGTAAAAGGAAATGTTAATTTAGAAACCCAGAATAATGTTGTAAAAGGAGATGTTAATTTGGAAACCAAAAAAAATATATCAAAACCTATAGTAATCGATAATACACCATTGATTACCGCAGCACGAAAACCTTCAGATGATGATACACCATTAGTCACTATTCCTAAACCTATTGTTAATAGTACACCAATCATTCCCGATATTCCCGCGAAATCTATTGATGATATGCCATTAATTAGTGCTGCTAAAGGTGCTATTAACAACAATATATCGTCTTTACCTTCATTAATTACAAAACCTTTACCTGAAATTATTCCACAGGTTGAACATAAAGAATCTAAAAACATTCCTGTTCAAAAACCTTATATTTCTAATCATGATCTTTCTAAAGAAGCTCAGAAATCTACAACCAATTTTAATAATAATAACATCAATAATATCAATAATAATGAAATATTATCAAGTTCACTTCCTCCAAAAGATTATTCTAAAATAACATCAGAACCTACTACGTATATAAATACAACAATAGCAAAACCTATAGTTATAGCTGATGTACTGAATGACACTAAACTTGCTAATAAATTTTTAAGAAAGAAACGAAGAAATGGAAAAGGTGAAGAAGATGAAGGAGGATTGACGGCAAAAATTATTGAACCACCAAAACAATCTGTTAGTCCTAGGATACAAGAATTTATATCAAAATATCAAGCTACTAATGGGAAATGAAAACTTTTAGGAAATGTGAAAAAAAAAACAATTAAAATAATTTTTTTTACGAAAGATTGTGTGTGACAAAAAACTTAATACTTTTTTTTTGTATAATGTTGTATTTAACTGTAATATTTTTTTTTTTTGTAAATTATTGGAGTTTATTTAGTATATGGGAGTTGAAAAATTTTCCATAATTTATGTTAATTTTAAAAGAAATCATTAGTCTATATTGCAAAAAAATTTTGTACGCGATTTATATATAAATATCAATTATCTGAGCCAACAGTATTTATCTCTACGTATATCTTATTGTAAATTTTTGTTGGGCACGAGATCCCTATTATAGAGGCTGATCTGATTGGTCCCCTGCGCGTTATTTCGCGATGGTAGTATAAACCAGATTTTTTTAAAGGATTTTTCCGAAATTAACGTGTAGTTTCGAAAGTTGGTCCGAATTAAGTTCAATTCGGGCCAAAATTTAAAATAACGCCCCTGCGCGTTATACGGTATTACAATTAGGGATGGGCAATTATACGATACCGTATAAAAAAAATGGTATAGTTGGTATAGTATAATTATAATTATACCGTATAATTGGTATAATATAGTTGTGTAACAAGATTAACCAATAA